AGAAGAAGCAGAACGAAGAGTTAGATGTGATCCGAAAGAATGGCACCAAAAATAAAAGAGTGAGTCTTCAGGCACTCAAACGTAAGAAGAGAATCGATAAACAATTGGAACAAATCGACGGTTAGTTTCAGACACATGTGATGGTTTTGTGGGATGTGTCTAATGTGGTGATGATGTGATTGTAGGGACGCTCACAACCATTGAGTATCAACGCGAGGCCCTCGAGAACGCCAACACCAACACTGAAGTGCTTAAGATCATGGGTCACGCGGCCAAAGCTCTTAAGCAAACGCATAACAACATGGATATCGATAAGGTTACCATTGCTGTGATATTTGTTGGCGCGCTTGTAGTCACATGTGTTGTGCTGTGTGTTTAGGTGGAAGACCTGATGGACGAAGTGAGGGAACAGCAACAGATCGCAGAGGAGATCAGTCAAGTGATCTCTAATCCCATTGGCTTCGGTCAGGAGGTCGATGAGGACGACTTACTTAAGGTAAGCATTTGTTTAGGTTTTAATGGAAATGTTTGTCACGTGAATACGGATTGAATGGTTTGAATGGTTGACAGGAGTTGGAAGAGATGGAACAGGAAGAGCTCGACAAACAACTGTTGGACACAACACCCGAACACCTGCCAGAAGTGCCCGCAGAAGTGCCGGTGGCGGCGCCCCGTATGTCATACATCTGTTTGATTGAGTCTACGATACAGTGATATAATAGAAATGAATTCATTTTTAGGTACAAAAGCAAAAGAAAAGGAAGAGTCGGATGAGTTGAAAGAGTTGGNGAGTTGAAAGAGTTGGCCGAATGGGCTAATTAGACATCACTTATATTATAAGATATTATATATACAGTAAATATTAAATTTATAATTATAATTGTAACTTAAAAACAAATAGTTTTATTGATTTAATAATTGAATTTAATGTTAAGACAATTATAAAAGTATTTTCAAAATAACATCAATTTATAAGTAATATTTTGCACAGAAGTTAAATGAAATTTATTCACAAATGTGTGTCAACTGGACTCAGAACTCTTGAATGAGTTGTAATATTCTCTGTTTGTGGTGTTCATCCCTTTCATTGGCAAAGTTTTTCATAATATTCTTAATAAACTTGTAGTGATTGACTGAACTAACGGCGTGTAAATTAATTAATCGCATAACTCGTGATTTGATGCTCTCTTTGGAGCTCTGGTCGTCCTTTTCGGTGGCATTGGCTTCCATATAGTCGTCATATAGCGAACATATGACAAGAATTATGTGATCAATCATCTGAAGAGTGAATAGTCCGCCATCAGTGAGGCGTCTCATGAAGAACTGGTCCTCATCTATGGTCTCATCGTTGATGAGTT